ATTCATAACAAAGCATATACTTAAAAGAGGAACCGATGCTGACAGTAGCGGACCCGGAGCTAATCAAAACAATCCTGGTTAAGGACTTTCACCTGTTCCCCGAGAGAGAGCGCGTATAAATATTTTAACATGTAAATTTTAAAAATAAATTATCTCGTTACACTATAAATAAAAAAAAAATTATTAAAATACATTACTTTAGTTGCAATAAAAGTTTGATTAAATGTTACAAAACTTTTCACCTAAAGTCGCTGTTATTTAAGTACTGTATAAATAACGTGCAAAGAATAGCCCATAGACTGGACGTTATGTTTGAAATGTTAAGCGCATTGAAAAACAACACAAACCGTAAACACAAACACATTTGGCGTTCAAATAAAAATATATGCAAACAATTTGTGTAATAATTAAATACATTTATTAATTGTTACCACTTTTGCGAAGAATGTGATTATAAAACACGTTATAATCGCAACACAAGTAATCACACGAATGGACGACACAAACGATTACACGTTTAAAGTGTTGTGTTTTAGGAAAATACAGATCAAAGGTATGTCCCGATTGTGTTGTCACACGTGTTGTGTATAGTCTATAGTCTACTCCCGCTATAGTGAACACCACTTACTTATAGTCACTAAACTGTTGTCTTATATCAATGTATGAATTGGTGTCACCCGTGGATCAGACGGCGCGGATGAGCCGAAAGCCCGCAGCGGTCACCGCATCGTAAGCACTGCGGCCTCCGTCTACTCATACGGCGGATACAACCCTACCATCGATGACACCGAAGACATGGACGACGGCGTAGACAATGGCGGCACTGACGACGAGAACGACGACGACTACGAAGACATCGACTCAGACGAAGAGGAAGTGGAGGCCGAGGAAGAGGAGGGCGACGAAGAGTTGCCACTTGCACCGCATCCACAACATCACTGGTGGTCGGGTCGGCCGCTGTTCAAAGAGTTGTGGCGCTTCTCATACGTGACCCGCGAGTGGACACGAGTGGAGCTGAGAGGACAGGCGCCCGACGAGTTGGCCTCGCATTGCGCGGACAACATCACTGGTGGTCGGGTCGGCCGCTGTTCAAAGAGTTGTGGCGCTTCTCATACGTGACCCGCGAGTGGACACGAGTGGAGCTGAGAGGACAGGCGCCCGACGAGTTGGCCTCGCATTGCGCGGCACTCGTCGACACGCGATATCTGTTTGTCTTCGGCGGCACTGGCTTTCCGTTCGGCGAGTCGTCCAGCAATCGCCTGTCGGTCTGCAACCTGTCTTCGGGTGAGTGGAAGTGTGTGACCAATAGTGACGATACGGACGCCCCGATCGAGCAGTACGGCCAGGCGTTGGCCGTCGACCCCAACGGTGACAGTATATACGTGTGCGGCGGCACAACCGGTTGGCTTTACAGTATGTCTGTCCATCGCTTTGATCTGCGGTCTCATCGGTGGCACAGTCTCTACTCACGGGGCGCCTACTTCGACAACGACTTTCCCGAACCTCGCTATCGACACGAGATTGTTGTCCACGAGAATCGGCTGTATGTGATCGGCGGCGGCACTTCTTACAAATGCTATAAACTATCGAAGGTATGCATTGTTGTCGCTTAAGACAACTGATCCAGTGTTTGCTAAGCCTATATTGTTGTGCTCCCAAACAGATCCCAGTGTTTGACGTGGAATCGCGCCAATGGCTGGCTATGGAGACGAAGAACGATCTGAATGTGATGGCGAACGGCGTGGACGGGTATCCGACGCGTCGCCGGTGTCACGACTGTGTCCGCGCCGACGAGCACACGGTGTACGTCATCGGCGGCACCAATAATGTGGTCATTTTTGACGACGTGTGGCGACTCGACCTGCGGTTAATGCAATGGACACTTGTGCCCACACGACTGCCCCGCGCCGTATACTTCCACTCGGCGTCGGTGTCGTCCACTGGCCGGCTGTCTGTGTTCGGCGGTGTTGTGTTGTGGTTAGTGTTGCTCGCGTCATTGCTCAACATGTGGCGCACCGAATTCTATGGCCGCGAGTGCCTTTACCGCAACCTTCGCCAAGAAGTAATGCAAGTGGCGGCGGCTGTTGTCTGTGGGCTGCCTGACCTCAAGTCAGTCGACGAGATACTGATTGGTCTACAAATACCTCCAAACATCAGACAAACATACCTTTAGTTAGCGTTAGGTTTTTTTCCAATTGATTTCATTATATTTTTATGTGATGTCTGTATGTATTGTATATTTTTTTATATTTTATGTCGATCTCAGAGTTTTGAATTGTTTTTTCCGAGTTTTGTAATAAAACAAATTTAATTTAATTTGTTGTGTAACTTAAAACATGAATAATTTGTTAAATCGTTACAAGTATTTTATTAAAGCATTTTTTGAACCATTTTTTAGAGAATTTGTGATATATGTGTTCTTATCGTAAGCCTGTTTTGCTAAAGACGTCAAATGTGTGGCCATTTGTGGACCGGTTTGTTGGACCAACTGATAGAAGAGTCCGTTGGCATTGTGTAAGAGATGGAAGGGATGGTCGAACTCGCGGACACTCCCGGAGTCCATAACCAGAACTCTATGCGAATCGATAATTGTGTTCAATCGGTGAGCGATTGTCAATACCGTCGATGACTGGAAGTGCTCTCTAATGGCGGTCTGAATGAGTGAATCTGTTTTGTGGTCCACATTAGCGGTCGCCTCGTCTAAGACAAGGATACGACTCCTCCTCAGTATAGCTCTCGACAGACATATCAGTTGTCTTTGACCTGCGCTTAGATT